TTTCAACATAGGATTACAGCACATTTCTTTCGATGATGTCACATCTTTATGAAACTGGTTATCATTGATTGCTGTGATGAAAATCAATAAAGAGCAGGAAATGAGGTGGCAGTGGCCAGTCTCATTCTCAGGTCTGGAAGCCCACAGTCACTTAGGTGTCTAGAAATTTGAAAATTGTGGTTGTTTAAAAGTTAAACAAAGTAGTAATTTTCTCTTAATTTATTGGTATTTTGTGTTTTTAAAAGGCAACTATATTCTTCAGTCATGAATTATTAAGATTTTGTTTTTGGAATGACTAAATCTTAAAACATTTTAGAATTGGCATGGGACTGTCCAATGCAGTAAAAGTATTATTGGTGATCTGAGGGTCTGTGAACCAAGGAAGTTTGGAACCTTCTAAATCAGTGTTTGCTTTCTGAAGCTGGTGAATCTTTAAGTCTGTTTTTTTTTCTCTATAAACAATAAAGGAAAAAAGTGACACTCTCAGAAATTTATTTGATTTGTCTACACATGGACACACATATGATAACTGGGTTTGTGGCTAAATCCCCCAGTTTCTTAGTTCCCCAGTCTTTAACCCAACAGTGAACTAAAAAATAGTTGAGTAGCAGATGAGTCTATCCACCATTAATTACCACTTGTAGAATGATATTTGTGAGGCTACACTTTGATAGACATGGAGTTTAAAAAAAAAACAACAACCCTTGAAGGAACCTTCCAGCCACAGAGTTCTGAGAAGTCTAGGGTACAGGAGATGCAGAGAGCCCGTTCATTCCACTTGGTGAAGGAATTGAAGCATGACAGTGTGAAATATGATTCTTGAATCAGCCCAACAGTGTGATATTTATCTTTAGCCACATCTTCCCTGAAGGATTGTTAAAATGACCTTGAATCTCTGGCAATATCTAGCAAGTTATAAACTATCTCTCCCTTGACTTCCAATAAAGGAGAATTCATTCTTCAATGTGTAGCTCAATGTCCTGTGCCTTCCTAAGTCTTTTCTCAGTGTTCTGTATTTAACTCTTCAGGCTTGTATTTATGAATCCATTTATATCACTATCATGGTCAATTGTTCTAATGAGCCCAGTAATCTTAAGAATGGCCCAAACCTTCTTCTTTGGTGGAAAACACATACCAATAGATTTTGACTGTTGTCCATTGTAGCATGTGTTAATTTTATGAGATTCACAGGAAAGGTTATCCCATAACCCAATGGTGTCAATAGATGAGGCCATACCTGGTTTGGCCTTCCTCACATTGGAGAAAAACCAATATCTGATTCTGTGTTAGGCACTAGCAGAGCACTGTGTGCTCCAACATGTCAATCAGCTAAGGTCTATTGTAGTTGGGTTACACTAACATTCTTGTATTGAAGTTGGAAGGCTAGGGGTGGCCTGACCTTGTCGATTCACTTCACTGAAAACCTACTGCAGCTGTCTATGACATTAATAATACAGTATAAATTACCCACTATGGCTGTGCACTGAATACTATTTATTTCTATCCTCCATTCGATTATTCCTTGAGCACCAATCATATGCCAACTCCTTCAGATACTTTAGTGAAGAAAATTAAGATCCTTTTTCTCATGGGGCTAATATCTGAACATGAAGACAAAATAAACAGTAAGTTATAATCTAAATATGTGAAATAAATAACAAGTTCAGGCTGAGAGAGAGAGAGAGAGAGAGAGAGAGAGAGAGAGAGAGAGAGAGAAGAGAAGAGAAGAGAAAAGAGAAGAGACAGACACAGACAGACAGACACACAGAGAATAAAACCAGAAAAAGTGGGAGAAGATAGTACCAGCCAGAAGCTGGCAATTGTATGTGTCAACAAGAAAGGGGCAGTAATTGTTTTTCTATGTAGACCAGGTAACTTCAGCTTTGTGGGTCATAGAATCTCAGAAACAAAGGTGCACGCTGTCCATGGTACAAAGGAAGCCACTGACATCTTTAAATGAATCTGCTTGACTGTGCTTTAATCGAACTTTTTTTTTTTCTACAAAAATAAGCTCCTGAACCTATACAAATCTTACAAAATATATACAAAAATTTGACCCCTGAACCATGATGTATTGGCTGCTGGACTGCAGTATTAAAGCAGTAAATTCTCTTTGGGGTATGCCTCTCTGAGAAAAAGGATATTTCATGCTGCCTTTCTGGGACTACACTGCATTCTTATTGGGCTTCATTGTGTCTGTAACCAGCATCAAGTTTGGTCCTATTTTTGGCCTTGATGTTAGCTGGTCTCACTTCTATGTCTACCCGCAATGCTTCTTCTAGGTTATGGATTTCCATCTTCATGAAATTCTCAAGTTATATGTCACCAAGCAAAATGTCATCTTATATGACATTTCTGACAACCATCCAAACTGCTGCCCCCAACTCAAACTTCTATTGATCCCATTGCCCAGTATGGTCTTGACTGGGACATTACCACCGTGTAAGCAGGTTTCCTTTATGCTTTGGTTTTCTCTCTCAGAAGTTTCATGAGAATAGCCAACAGGTCTCTTGTCTAAGTCTCCAAGATATGCTCAGAAAATAAAAGTGTCTAGTGTATAGTCAATATTCCATAAATAGCTGTTAGATGGATGAGAGTGAACGACGTTTCCGAAGAGCCAGCCAGCATTCTGTAAACAACAGTGTTTCGTTACTACAAAAGTTATAGCTAAGATCTGAATTGTCCAAGGAAGGTACAAATCCACATGTTTATGTTAAATTTCTAAGTTAAAAAAGTTAATCCAACAGTATATTTTTCTTGTCAAATGCTGTATTTCTATAAGCTGCTTACCTGGGACATGTGCTGTATACTTTCAGGGACACACAGAGTTTCTTCTGTGCTTTACTATGAAAGGTGACTTTTGCTGCTTTAATATTTCTTCATGCATACAGTATACTTTGATCAAAATGGTTCTACTTCTTCAATTCCTCCCAGATCCTCCCCTTACTCCCTATCCATTCAACTTCATAGTCTTTCACTCTCCTTCCCTCCACCAAAAAAAAAAAAAAAAAAAAAATCAACCAAACAAAACAAGGAGGTCACAGTAAACAAAAAGTGCACGAGTGTGCACAGAGACACAAAATGCATGCACGCTGGCAAGCACAACACAACACAACACAACCCACAATGGAGTCTGTCTGTGTTTGCCAACTACTTTTGGGCCTGCGGCCTGCTCAGGTGAGTTACTACTATCTTTAATGACACTCCATTGATGAAATCTGCTTCCCTTTCCCAGCAGGTATCAAGTGCAAATAGATTCTTGACTAGAGAACTTTCTGTCCACTTCCCCTTCTCCGTGCTGGGAACCTGTCTGGCTTGAACCTGTGCAAGCCTTGTGCATGCTGCCAGAGTCTCTGTGAGTTCATGTGTGCTTCAGGCCTACTGTGTCTGGAAGACATTGTTTCCTTGGAATCATCCACCACCTCTGGCTCTCCCAATCTTTCTGCCTCCTCTTTCCCATAGATCCCTGACTGTTACTTGGAGCAGTTTGATAAATATATCCCATTTATCTCTCACTCTCTGTACATCATCCAGTTGTGGGTCTCTGTGTTAATTATTATCTACTGCAAGGAGAAGCTTATCCTATGAGGGTTCAGTGATGCTCTTATCTATGAGTATAACAATATGGCATTAGGAGTCATGTTATTGCTTTGTTCCTTTAGTAGAATAACAGTAGTGAGTGGAAATGTGACATTAGATGACAAAAGGCCAATAGCTGGTTAGTGGCACCATACTTCTTACCTTCAGACATACACTTTTGTACTTAAAAGAACTACATAGATCAAAGCTATGTTTTGTTCTACAAGTAATATGTTTTATCAAGGTAAAATATTCACATACCTGGTGAATAAACTTTGGGAAATGATGTCAGCTCACAGGATTTCTTTTTACTGGCAATGCCTAGTTGTTTTTACTACAGCAGGGTGGAATTCCTGTCTATGAATTCTTGAGCTATGTGGCATAATTTTAAAGTACTACGAAAGTAAGAAAAGACTGTATCTTATTGATTCAGTAATGTACCTCTGAGCATTGTGCTTATTTTTGGCAGATATTCAATAAATATGTATTGTTTTAATAAATGAATAGAGTCTATACTGACAATGATATGTGGAAAATGTGAGTAAACTAAAATAAAACTATTTTGTGTAATTTTGTTTTATTGGAGAAACAATTTTACTCAAGCCAGAAATGTTGAAAATCTAATATTTTAATGCAAATTCAATATATATTATAATAGTTGAATCTGTAATGAATGAAAACATATAATGACCCAAGGGTCCCAATCCTGAATGTGCTATAAAGTGCTAATCACAGTATTTATTGTGATGTTTACTGAATACCAAGATTCTATACTTATTATTAATGTGCATGTTAAAAAGAAAGTGATGCTTTATCTCCCATTTTTTGGTTACAATTTATATTCCTGTTGAGAGTCACATGGGTACTGAAGAGCCATATCAGGGCTAATCTCCAAGTCAGGTTCTCTTCAACTGCTTTGAGCATGGCTGATATTTCAGAGAAATTAAACAGTGAAAGCCCAGCTCTGAGAGTGTTGGTAGTAAGATAATCTCTTTCACTTCCTAGTTCCTGTAAAAGCATGCCAATATTGGTTAAGAGCAATTATCAAAGGCCTGCCTATCTGTTAAACAGTTAACAGATGTTACCATGTAAATGAAAACACCCTGTTTTGCTCTTTGGTACCATTCTGTCTTTACCATTTGCTTAGTTCTCTTGGGTCATTTACATATCAATATTTCCAGAGTTATGTCAGTAGGTCTGACATCATCTGGAGTATAAATCTTCCTTCCATGCTGCTCTGCCTCTGTGACTGATGCCTATATTGTGGCACAGTTGATAATATTGAGAAACTGGAGTTTCTTTTTCTCTATCAGTGATTTTATCTGTCAGTTCTTAAAATGGTGACACAGGGAAATGAGAATTAAATTGTTTTTGTCAAAGCACAAGGCCTTTAGAAGTGAATAAAAATAAGCCAGCCAGCATTACAGTCTCTTGAGCACTTTATTTGTTATAAAGACAAATCCATAGCACACAATGGCACCTTCTTACTTCCAACATCCAGGATTACAAACAATTACCTCATAAAATGGTCTCAGCTTTTTAATGTGTTGTTTTAGATATTATTGAAACCTTATAAAAACAAGACTTGCTACAAACAGGATTGGTGTTCAATGTATATTAAATGAGGTCAGATAATTAAATTCAAAATAATTTATAAATATTCAGATAAGAAAATTGAAATTACAAAAGCATATTTTGGTCAACATTAAACTGAATTACAACTGTGTGTGGTTAATGCTTATCTACACAGCTAAATTTTTGTTAAAATACAGTTTTAGTTATCAAATAGTCTACCTCATTCTCCCGTACAATCACCTACTTCATTGGTAACACTCAGTACACAATTCATCCAGAAACCACCCATTTTACTCTAGTCCAGCTGGAATGCACACACTTCTGTCTCAAAGATGCAGCCCACAAAGTGCCATCATCCCCTGGCTACAAAATAAAATACAATATTTAAAGGTAAAAACTCAGAGAACTTCGGAAATGGTAACCCATTCTCTCTGTGTTCATGAAAATAGGCAATCCAATTTGAAAGTTTTTGAACCAATGTAAACTCTAGAAAACTCATGTTGAAGTATGGGAATAAGGACTCTGCACTAATATAGTGCATAACAATACAGTGTCAGACTCGCCATTTACAGTAAATGCCTTGATTGGACTTCCCCGTGGATTGTCAATATGCGGCTGAAGATCAAGTTTACTCAAGTCTGTGGGAAATCCTTCATGTTTTCTTCCTCTCATTTTCAAACAGGAAGAGAAGGGTTTTCAGGCCTCTTGGGAAAACCAAAAAAGTAAAACACTCACACCCACAAACAACTCGAAATCTAAATGGCATACCCAGTAATCCTTGACTCCATGTCCAAATGAAGTTGGGGCACTATTACTTTTGCAGTATTTGTATTCTGCCCAATGTATCACATCGTGAGATTCCTCAAAGAACTGAGAAGTCTGAGAGCTACAAAAGAGAAAGCATTTAAGGCAGCAGTTGATGTCTACATTTGGATTCCTTTTTCAAGTTACATGTCCAAGTCCCCATCGTAGGCCAAGGTCAGTGGCTTCTGATGGCGAGGTGTGCTTTGATGTGGTTTTGGCTTCTTGCTGCAAAGGGAAAAGAGGTCTTCAGATAAAGGTTATAGAGCTTTGCTTCAGCTGCCAAAGACAATCTTGAAGACTGGGAGTTCAAATGGGAAAATTACGAATGACTCATTTACCAGTAAGCATGGGTTTTTTCTTTTGAACAAGTCATGTGACTCTTATCAATGGAGATACAGTTGGCGGGAAGTTTTATCATTGTGTGAACATCATAGCTCATGCTGTCCCAATCTAAGCTGACTCCAGCTTCACTGGGCCCATAGTATAGGAGTAGATGATGTAGCCAGTGTGATTAGAAAGTGCAGTTTTGGTGTATGCCTGTATTCCTCAATTTAGCTCTTTTAAAATACAAGCCACCATCTTTTCAAAATCTTAAGAAATGGTTTAGTGGATTGAGCAGCTTAGGAGAAGAGCCATTTTCTGTATTTGTTCTTGCTTACACACAGGAAGGTAGACATCTGCTGCTCACTAATTCCTAAGCTGCTATGACCTCCGCATCCCAGATGTTTAACATTTTAAGCAGCTGGAGCAGCCAGACTCCTGTGTCTTGCTCTGGCCTTGTTTTTAAGCAAACATATTTCTGCTTTGGCTTGAAAACTGATATGTTTTTGGCTATCAACCCACTGTAATTTAGCAGTACAAGTTTACCAGGTCTCTGCAAAACCATCCTCTCCTGGGCCTCGCTTTGCCGGTGAGTGACTTTTTTCATGTCGAGGAAGGTTGCTTTTCCTGCTCATAAAGAACCTGATGTGCCAAATTCACATGGGTAGCCACCGTGTATTTCCATTCTTGTTTTTATACATGAAATTTTTGTCATGTACTCCTCTTCTCCACACAAACCCCCTTCTCCACAGAGCCTGGCTCTGCCATGTCTTCAGAGGCTGGCAATCTCTCTCTCTCTCTCTCTCTCTCTCTCTCTCTCTCTCTCTCTCTCTCTCTCCCTCCCTCCCTCCTGCTCTTAGATTGCTATGGCACGTAGTACATAGTAGCATCTATTATTTATTTTTATTCAATGCAGACTGAGTGCCAAGTCTGTGCCAAGCATTTTATATTTATTCTTTCAATAAGTCCCAGAACCTGAGAGCAAGGTACTTCTTAGAAGCAACATTCTCTTCTGCTTGGAAAAATGAGTTGAATTTTATATCCAGACCGAATTTAAATGAAAACGAAACATTGTAGTTTATAAAAGGCAGTGGTAGCGTTTACTACTGTGTTATCTGCTGTCATCACTCTCTGTCGTGGGAGCATCTTTATCACTGAGCAGTGTCCCCATTTCCCCTCCTGTGTTCCCTGGCAACTGCTAATCAACCTGCTGCCTCCACACATCTCTCGATCGCATCTCTCGATCCTGGATATCTCACACAAATGGAGCCCTACCAGCTGTGGCCCTTCATGTTTAGCTCCTTTCACCCTATGGTCAGAGTGGTGAATTTCCTGTTACCTGAATTAATTAGAGTATGAAGAGTTTGGCAGAACCAGTTGGAGGAAGGATTTCCTAATCCGAAATGCCCAAGTTCTAATCAAAGAGCAAAATTAATTTTTCCGATTGATGTCTGAAGCAAGCCATCTAAGCTAAGAAGATAAAAACGATCTCTAAAACTTTACTGAATGGAAGCATACATCCTCTCAGGGGCCTTCACCCAGCACCGGGCATGCAGCAGGCTCCCACTGAAGATTTGCTGGGTGCTGGGCATAGGCTGCAGGCAAACAGCTTCCAGGTAGAGAATCTGATAGGAAGCAGCAACTTGATTTAGAATCCTCCTCAGAAGAGAGCCTAAGCTTCGATATCCTGCCTTTCAGGCTCTCTCCAGTTCTCAGAGGGGTACTGCATAATTACTTGACTAGCATTCAATTTAACTTTATCCATATGAATCATAGGTATATTCTAGAGACTTTATTTGTAGCAGGGTGGAGCTTCTAACATGGATAATAAACCTGGCTTGAAACAGGGTCCTTGGCATGCTGACCCACGCATTTAAAGGTAGTTAAAAAAAGACAGCAAAAAACAAAAAACAAACAAACAAACAAAAAAACAGAGGAGAGGTTGGGACCTCCTGGAAGTGACACCTTGTATATCTACCTTAGTGAGTATCAAGAATTTCTTCTGAAGTAATGGTGAAGATGTCCCCATGTCCCTACTATGTGTGAAAGAACAGGGAATAAATAGAGGGTTGGGAATTGTAGATCCTACAGTTCCTGGCAGTCCGCCTTTATTTTGCATGAGCTATATGTTCCTAGGTGAGGAAAAATGAGAGCTGGGGACCTGGGGAGTGAAGGCAAGGGACAGCAATGGCTAGATTTGTATGAGGAGATAAAATCATTGCCTGGGAGACATGTAAACTTGGCTCGGCTCTGTGAGCGGGGCCTGGAAAATTCTGCTCAGAATGTGCACAGATGTCTTCATGTCTGCTTCCCTATGTAGATTTATGAGCACAGTTTCCACCTCTGAGACAATGGAGGACTGGAGACCTTGGTGGGCCATGCATGGCATGGAGTCACCGAGATTAGGGCTTCATTCACTGTGACTCACTGTGGACACTGTGAGTCCAAAGGTCTCAAGTATGAATTTGTAAGATCTGAGAACCTTTGAATATTTTCAACAAATGAAATCCTTCCCTCATGGTAATCTGGGAACTCTGGAGAACAGGTCCCTGTACTCCAGCTGTGGTGAACAAAACTTCCAAGCCAGTTAAAAGGGAGGGTGTGCACGGCCTCCTTGTGAAAAACCATCAGCTAAGAGGCCTGTCTTTGGAGTTCTGGGCCCCCTTTTCTTCTGCTTGATTGGAACATGTCCTCTTAAAGACAGATGTTTCTTGTTTTTTTTTTTCCTCCATAAACTCTGGTGTTACAAAAGCATAATCACTCTTCTCCGTCAAGCGAAGTAAGTAACCACAAAGGCCTGCACAGAGGCCACACCGCCACTGCCAGTACCCAGCCAGCATCTACCCCCGGCACGTCATTCTCCTGTTGAGCTTGACAGAGTGCTCTGGACAGCCACTACTGCTGGCCGAGCCACACAAAGCCCAAGACCATGCTGCTGTCCTGGCTGTGAGAGATCATCCAAGACAAATTGGAAAGTGACCTCTTTTGAGGACATCTGCATTTTAGCAAAGGGTGAGAATGCATTCAGCCAAGAAAGGGGGCTGCCAGGAAAGCCACTGACACTTCTAAGTGCAACTTAGTTCCTTGGCATGCCACCCACAAGGAACACTCCTAAGCTAGCTGAGGTTGCATAGTTTGATGGAAGCAGGGAACCTTTTTTATTTGTTTGGAGAGCTATCTGTGAGAGACAAGCTTCTGGAATCCAGGGCAGCACTCTTAATCGTGAATGGAGAGTCTGTTACCAAAATGTGTTGCCAGAATGGACATGGTTATCTAGAGTGTCTTCCAGGCACTATGTCCAGGTTAACCACAAGCTCATCTAGTGTGCAGCTTCAGCAAATCATTCCCAGGGAAACCTGAGCTGGGGAGCCTTTCAAAATCCCCAGTACCAGTGGATGCTCAGAAGGTCATTGTGGAAAGGAAATGCTTAGGGAGACTGTTTTTCTGCTTTTCCAAAACAGTCCTTACAAGATTTATTATAAATTGCTTTCATTTAAAGTATATGTCTAAACCTGGTATATTGCAGGAATTCTCCTATCATAAACCTTTTATTTTGGTGGAAAATATAACATGTCCAAACTATCATCTTTTAATGCTCCTACAACCACTTAACAGAATGAGCTGCTGTGAAACATGCATTTGAGTGTCTGTACACAGCTCTTTGAGGTAATGAAGGACATGTCTCTCCAGGGCTGTGGATCACTTTACCTGTAGAAATGTAGGATCTTGAAGGTGGAAATCAACAACATTGCATTGCATGTGAAAGCCCTGCAGGCTTACTCAAAGGGGAGAACGTGTAGAAGAAGCCTGCACTTTGGGCTTAGCCAAATACAGAGCTGATTCTCCAAGCCAGGTGACCACAGAAACAGGATTTCAGTTAACTGCGCTTTAAACTGGAGTGACAACCACAGGGATTAACAAAAACAGTTTCTGTACAGTATTTCTGCACCTAAGATACAAACATTTGACTTTTACTCATCCACAAACCCTAAAATCTTAAAAAAAATCTTTATATTAATCAAATTATTTATTTATTCACTTATTCAGATCTTCAATAAATAATGATCCAATCTGTGGTGTAAAAGAATCCAAAAAACATAGTCAACAAAGTCTTCCCTCTAAAGTCTTTGGGGTTCTATAAAGAGTTGAAAAATACCTAAGCAAACAGCTACACTGTTGGCAGGAAGTCAGTGCCGCAGGGGAGGAGACACCGACAAGCTGTTCCTGGCTCTTTGAGAAGGACATAGGTTGGAATCTGAGTTTTACTGGAAGCGTGGGTGGCATGCCAATAACTGGCTGTGAAAACTTCCTTTGTGTTAAAGGGGTCATGAGGATTAAACCGTGAGAAATACCTTTGCTATACGGAAAGGTTTTGTTCCGTGGAGACTGTGAATAAACACACAGGACATACACAACGGCCCGAGAAATGTGAATAGACAGAGTCGGCTATTGGGATGAAGCATCTGAAACAGCAGCACAGATTCACAGATGAGATATGTCTCAACAATGTGTGTGGAAATGGATATGGGAAAGAGGAAAGAATACACCTGATTGCAAATGGAGGGACTGATGGGATTGCCCAGTGGCTGATGTGAGAGTCCATGTGAATGAATGCTGCATAAAACCATTCCTACCATGGAACGAGAGACATCAGTACTTAGAGCTAAATATTAATATGCAGCATAGGCTTTGGGACTCGGTATATGACTAAGCTTATTAATGAAATACTTGAGTGATTTTTTTATTTCATCTAAATAGAAAAAACTTATAAGTTGGTCATTTTGAAAGATACTTTCCTCTGTGAGACAATAAAAGATAAATGATTTGGATCCACGCAGCACAAGTGAGCCTCTCCAGGGTCCATGGACTAGCAGGAGATGAAATTGAGGGTTGGTTGGGTTAGGCATTCAGCTAGACAATGAGACATAACCCTGACTTCATCAGTAAAATGAGACATTACTAATGGTGTAAGGAAGAGAGGTGGTGATCACCGGAGATATATTTTAGGAAGACTAATGTGGCCACAGGATGAAGGAGAAATGGTGTGTACATCCAAATGTGGGTCTTTTATGCCATATAAGTTGGTCACTGTAAATATCGGGGAGGAATTCTACTGGTATTTTGTAATCAGATCTTCTCAGCAATTATGGTTTTGCACCTCTAGTCCCAGTGTTTGGGAGGCTGAGTCTGAAGATAAAATTGAGTTTAGATTAGCCTAGGAGGGACAGGAGGAGGGAGGGAGAAAGGGAGGAAGGAAGGGAGAGGAAGAGAGCATCATGAGGGAGGGGGTATTGGTAAAAAAATCTTACTGCCAGAATCTAGAATCTCAGAACTTGGAGTTATACATAAAGTCTTATTAAATATGTGCTGCTGGGAGAGTGGATGAGAGTTTAAATCAGTAAGTTGTGGGGAAGGGAGAAAAATAATGAAGAAAATTTTGTGGCTCTACATGAATATTTTACATGTAGGAATATTAAAAAACTATGCACTAGTTTTAAATTACTTGGGTATAAGAGTGCAGGGGGAAACAACAGAATCTCGATTGGGAATGAGGCTGTTACTATCAAGGAAGTCACTTGTTGTTATATTGCCATCAGGTGGTCCAATGATCTGGAACCTTACTGTCTGTGACTTGAAGAGCATTGTCCTGTGAACCTTCATGTTATCTACTGTGACTTTTAGAACATTCCCCCTTTTAGCCCTTTCGGTTGGTTCTGTACCTCAGAAGGCTCTGAGATGCCTGGGAAACATTCAAGCTCACATTTGTTCATTATGACGGGATGTCCACAGTGCTAGCCTAACCTATCAACTGAGACACTTAAGCTGGTCCAGTCATTTGATTACAGGGTGGATGACTGCTGGAGACAGCACATTTTTTACTAGGAAACTCTGGAAATACTAGCTGGATAGAAATCTCATTTCTAGGAATTCAATTTTGATCACTACAGGTGGGCAAGAGGGATAAAGTCATCTGATTTTCTTCACCCATTTTAACTGAGCAAAAGCAAAAATTTAAAAGTCTATGCAGCCTTGGAAACCAAATCTGGAGATAAATATACAGATTTGAGTCAGGATTAAAACTTGAGCAAAATTCTCAAATATTTTATGAGACAAATGAGGAATATAAATATCTCAGTTGGGAGAAAAAAAGCCAAATAACACTTTGAGCTCATAAAAAAAATCCTTGAAAATATTGCTTTGGTAGCTAACAGAATATGCTTCACATACTTTAAAATATTCAAATTTATTTATGTGCGTGTAGTCTCAAGAACTGCTCATGAAGTAAAATATATTCCATATAATAAACTAATTAGAATTTCAAGAGAGTGGGCAGTAGGACTACTCACTTACAAAGCAGGGTCCCTGGAATTGACAGCTAATTAGATGTAGATGGTTAATATTATCTTTGTTATTCAAAATGCATTAGCAAGGAGGAACCAACTGGTTAATTTACCCTAACTTTTCAAAACAGGCCCAATTAAGAACTAATAATAATTAAGAATAATGTAATAACTAGAATTATCTAAAGTAGTGTTCACAGATTAGCAACAGATCAAAATTACCTAGAGAATTTATGTATGTGCAAAAGTTCTGACCACACCCCAAAATAGCTAACTTTGGATTTTTGGGTGTGGAACTCAGCATCATTGTGTAGGAGACACCTCATCTGCACGATGATAAACCCATAATCCAAACCAAATGCTAAGTGCAAAAATGCTAAGACATGGCTTGTCTTTTACAGCTTCTAATATTAACCCAAAACCAAATAGAAATGTGGTATCAAGTGGTAACAATACTGGTAAAGGTCCTGTATTCACCTGTTAATCTCCTTTTTATGGTACTGAGATTCCTGTCATTTTTATCAATATTTTAAAAATATGGTTAAATCCTTTTAACATGCCACACACAAAAACAGGGATAATTTTCATTCCTTGGCACTTACCAAACAAGATAGGAAGTAAATACTAGGAAAATCATGATAAGAAAACTGCCACCTGAAACGCCATAAACCCAAATTTTTACTCGGCCATCTGTTTAAAACAGAAATAACACAACAATCTTAGCACACAGAAGTCTTCAACATTTAGGAGAGAAAGCACATGTACAAAGTAACATAATGTTTGACAACCCAGAGCTGATGATTAATTCTAGATCTGAAGTGGGTGCCTATGCTCGCTGATTACTCATGGGAGAGATTAGTCATGGCATGATCTGTGAACTGCCCTGTGGAATCAGGCGTTGACCGTTTTCTCTCCTGACCATCCCAGGAATATGGATTACTTACTAGAGATAAGGGTAACAACAATCAATAGGAAATACAGGCCCCAAGTTTGAAAAAGAGCAAGGTGGGGTATATGTGAGGGTTTGGAAGGAGAAAGGCAAAATGTATAATTATACTACCAAATCTAAAAACAACATATAAATTATACAACATTATACCAGTTGGTGTGGACTTTCTAGACATGAACAGTTTATATCACTCTAACTTTTAGCAAATCAGCCATTAATTGGTTGATAGCTAGGTTGTTAGCCAAATGTGGTGGGTCAGGCCTATGATCCCAGCACTCAAGGGGATTACCACAAATTTGAGGCTACCTTTGTCTCAAAAAGAAAAAAAAAAACAACCAAGCAAAAACTATAAGGGTGTAACTGCATTGCAGTAAATATATTTTTGGCCAAATAATTTCTTTTTCACCTAAATTCACAAGTGTCCATAGTTGTAAGCTACAATTTGGTGACTGCTGTTAAATAGAAAAGAATAATGGCAGCAAAGAAGGAAATAAGAAAACAATAGATCAGAAACTAAAATATAAACCCAAGTTCCCACCCCCAACATGAGGTATTGACAATCCTTAATTCATCAGTCCTACTGGAGGATTTTTGAACTTGTTTGAAGATTCTCATGTTTTTACACATGCCGTATAAAAATATCACCATTCTCCCAACATGAAGAACAACAAAAACTACAACTAAAAAGATAACCACACTTCCCAGCTCATTCTTTTAACACGCATGCAAGGAGAATTAGGATACACATTTCCGTAGCTCTTTTTTTCTGAATGCAATCAGGTGAAGAAAAATTCTCAAATAGGTTTTCTGTATTAGACACCTTCCCTCAAAGTCCAGGCAACACCATGGAAGAGTGGACAGGAAGACCAGAAGCTGTAACTCAGAAAGGACTTTGGTGAAACATTGTCTTCTGGATAGGACAGGACCTTTCCTCTTACTAACTCTATGAATGCGTAGCAGCTGTGGCTGGCTGCACAAAAGCTGAACAAGAGCAAGAGAGTCAACATTCCACTGAGGACAGGGAGGGGCACAGAGCCTCACCCCCACTGAGGTGCTCTTAACAGTTAAGGGCTGCTGGGGAAGGGAGACCCTAGTAAGTTGATCACACTATAGTGGATGGCCCTATAACTATGTCTGCATGAGCAACACCAGGTGGATTCTGTGTGAGATTTTATATTTATTTGTATATTCATACAGATATAAATAATTTAATAGATATGTATAAAAGAAAATATATTATATAAATTTATATGTTATATATAATACTCTAAATTTATAGCCATGTATATATATATATATATATATAAATATAAGAAAATATCATTTTAGATTTTCTACCTACCACAGTTAAATGAAACTTATTAGTCAAGTAAATATTATGGTCTTTGTGTGACTTTTTTCTATGTAAAATATGCTTTAGGTGGACTAGGATTTTCATTTTTTGTCCTAACTAGATTTGTAATTGGGCTGACAAGGGCAGTTGTTAGCATCCCAAAGGAATGACATTTCTTCATGAAAGAAATATTCAGGGATTCATATTCACCACACTGAGTCCACAGTACACATAGCATCATCTCATGCTAAACTGTGTATGGGATACCACCTGAATCTATGGTAAAAAGGTTTGGTTAGAGTAACATCACAATTACATTAAATTATGCTGTAATTCACTATATACATTTTTCATGCCTCATCCAGAGACTCATTTGAGAATGAGGTTCAATGAAATTATATCTTTCTCTGGTCATAAAAATCTTTTAAAAAGTTGAAAATGGTTGTCCTGAAACACTGATGATGGAATTCTCCACTTTGAGTTTTTACATTGACAGTCTGAGCAAGACTGTTCCTGACATGTCTTCAACCATAGAGCCTCAGAGCTCAGGCCTTGAGATGGCCCAATGCTTTTATCCTTATTCTAGATGAATGTAGTGGGCCAGAATGCTATTTTAGGGAGAATTTAATAATCAGCTTAATAAATAAATACACATTTGTAACAGTATAATGAGTAGACTTAAAGTTCAAACTACTTAAAGAGATGCAGGATGGAAATATCTTTCTGTCAGCCTCCACTTCCTCTCGTGGGAGCTATCTCTGATCTTGATGTCTGCGGATCTTTTCAGTCTTGATGTGCACACACACACACACACACACACACACACACACACACACACACACACACACGTGTGCATGTTGTTCACTTGTTAACTCTATGTTGTTCACTAGCCTGTATAGGTTGCGGATGGTCCTAGTTCACAGAAGCAGGTTTATCTCATCTCAATGTGTCTATGAGACACATCACACTGTTGATGTTTGTGTTTTTATAACATTCCACTTACAGGCACCTCAGTTGCCTCTACTCCTTTGTTAAAAGAAGCAGTCATGCACTGGGAATCATTTGCATTCTCGTGTGTATGTATGTGCAGGTTGGAGTCTTTAGAGAGAAATTTCAGATCAAAATGTATGGCAGCTAATATATTATGACAGCCTCAGTGTCCCCTGAGGGGCTGTCTCAGATTATGCCCTCACCTAATATATAAAACATATAATATATTACAATAATATACTACATATTATATAATACACAATATAATAATAATTTTAGAACCTAAAAGTTATTATAAACTGACCAGGCTAAAACGTCATTTTGGGGAGATTGTTCTGTGGTTACAGCACTCACCATATGAGTGTGATGACTGGAGTTCTGACCCCCAGCACTCACATAAAAGCCAGGGAGGCATGATGGCCTGACTGCAATCCCAGCGTGTGAGAGTCAGAGATGGGAGAGCCTCAGAGCAAGCTAGGTAGATTGACTGGCTGACTTGGCAAGCTCCAGGTTTCACTGAGAGCCACTGTCTCAGTATTTAAGGTGGAGAGCCATGGAAGAAAACACCTGACGACAACCTTGGGCCTCCAGACACATGGACACACAAATACATGTGCATTCACACGAGCACATGTGCTCCACCACATGAAAACTCGTACATACACATGCAGGCACAGCACACATGAATGCATGCAAAAATGCTGATCTGTCTACATATGTAGAGCCACACATATGTGTATATATGCACACATATTTTGTATTTATCTGTATAGCCTTATATGTGTGCATGCATATACATTTTTGCATGTGTTTATACACCTGCATACCTGTGTATCTGCACACTTATTTTTTAAATTTATCTATAAAACATATATGCCTGTCTACCCTCATTGTGACTTTATTCTAATTATTCGCCTGAAGTTGCTTGTGTCATGGATGAAAAGTCTACATGGCATATCATTTCCTCCCATGTAAATCTGCTCTCACTTTGCTCTTAAAACTGAGAGTTTTAAAGTACCTTTGGCATATAAGGAGTCAAAGGTTGAGTGAGAAGTCATGCTTCTTCTGAGAAGTCAGAGCATGAGCCTGTTTCCCTGATTGGGTTGAACATCCTTTGTACCTGGGCTGTTTTCTGCTTCATTTAAATGTGCCAGCAGGGAGTTTTAGGTATGAACCAAGGCTTCAGTCCAGAAGGGAAGTTTCCAGGGTCCATCTGTCCAAGGTGTGTCTGTCTTTCCCTTCCCATTACCTGTCACTTATGTGGCTTTGCCTGGTAGTTTGAAGGATTTCATTTTGGAAAAGAAGTTAGTGTGAGAAGCACAGAGATGCTCGCACACTTCACAGAGTGGCACATGACTGTCTTAGTTACTTGCATCTTTAAACTCACTCTTGTCACTTTCTGGTATGACCCTGGTGAAATTACCTAGTGCTGCTAATTTTGGTTTTCTTAATTTCTCTAACAAAGTGGATAGCATCCCCTTAGGTTGCAAGTGTGAAATGAGGTGATTCATGCCAGCAGAGCCACACAGCAGCCCCGCAGGTGGCATGCAACACGCTTTCTCTCCTGTCCATAATAAACACTAAGCTCAGAGCCCTAGAGGCTGAATATGTGGCCCTCCCTATGACAATCTGCAAAGTGGGTTTCTCTATACTGATTTTATAGGTAAAGGAACAGGAACAGAGGAGTTACAAGGTCACACTTGTTTGAAAGCAGGTGGTTTAAGGCACAAGGCCTGAAAGGCTTCCTTGTCTTGGAAATTGGGTCTCCTTATCATCTCCCCAGTAGCTCAAAACCCACAACAGGTCTGTGGGTATTTCCTGTAAGTTCTTGTGATTCAATTCCAATTCCCCCTTTAATTTCATTTAAATGCACAAATCCAGTTACAGAAGCAGCAACAATTTACAATTAAAAGACATTTTCCCAAGATACTACTTTGTTCCTTAAGTCACTCCCTCTTAGACTATGATTGCCAGGCTAATAAGCATCCATGAGAACACTTTATTCTTACATGGGAGTACACATCACGAAACACTCAAATCTGAGAAACCTTGAGCTAAACCACATGCTTCATCCTTCTTTTCTCCTTCCTTCCTTCCTTCCTTCCTTCCTTCCTTCCTTCCTTTCCTCCCTCCCTCCCTCCATTCTTTCCACAGTGAGAGATAACCACAGTATGAGCTCACTGGAAAAAAATTACATCCCTTATTCTCAGCAGAAACACACCTGGGTCAAGAGGTTGAAGAGGCCATCCTTTAAAAATATCATGTATTTTGGAATTCACAGGTCTGTTTTTCCCAGGAAGGTTTTTCACATCAGCTTTTTTGTCCTCTGAGCCAGGTACCTTCATGCAGTAATCCAGGAATCCACTTGATCTCATTATCTCTGTGTACCCCTTCTCACAGCCACAGACGCCGCCCTACAGCACAGAAAACACGTTTGTGGTTACATAGGAGTTGTGCCAATGAATAAAAAAGAATTATTCAAACACTAGTAAAAATCACTTAATAGTAGCCTTTGATATGTACTGGAAATGTGGGCGTTTCAGCAACTGATTTACCAATGGGATAGAGATCAAATATGTCATTCATCTTTCTGGGTCCCAATGTCAGCACTAAGTAACTTGCCAGGTTTTTCTAATGTGCTTATAATTTGTAGAGTGTTTTAGTATGCCGCTTCTTCTCTTTTAGAGATGTTTATGGCATTTCATCAAATTTTCATCTTCAACTACCCCTCACCGGTTTCAGATGCCTACCTGTCGGTTCCAGTTTTTCCCTTCTTACTGCAAAGGAAAGCCCCAGGTTTGTGCACGTATTTTATTTGATTTAGGTGATGCCTGAGTGCTGTCATCTTCCCATTGCTAGATCTCTTTATCATCTTGTACTGCTGGTGCTTAACTAGTCGTGACTGCCTTTCTGCTCCTAGGAGGGAAGTCCAGGTGGAGGAAAGATACTTGACTGGAATCATACTTAAGGAAAACATAGCCCCTCTCAATTACTCTTCATTGCAGTGACTCGAGTGTCACACTATAACACATCCCTACTTGACATTATGACAATGCGTTCTTTATATTTGCTTCTGCGGTTTCCGGTCACTTTCATGTGTAATGAGTGTCTTTGACAAGCTGACTATGATGAATAATGATAGACAAGGGTTCCTATCTGTCTTGGGAAGTGAATCAGAAAATAATTTCTCTTAGTCCAACAGACAGACACCAGAATACCAGAGAAAAGAAAAGGGTGTGATTATCAGTCTCTATGACTCTGCCATTATGGCTCCTTACATATAATTCACCTTCTGGCATTTTCTGAACAGATCCCCGCCTCTTATAGCTACTTAGGCCAATCCTCATCAAATAGCCAGTCTTGCTGGGATCATCAGTTCTTGACTAAATTTGATTTTAAGGAGCAATAGCTCCTGAAATTGAATAAAGCACCTTGATGCGCTACAGAAGGACGGATGGCAGCCAGAGAACCAAGCACTGTGACTGCCCACAGTTCAGTGCAGGACAAAGCTATAATAATGCCATGGATTTTCAGCTGATGGACACTGTCACATGGTGATGTCATTGAAGACATCTTTACAAGATGAAGCTCTATTGTTAGTCTGAGAGAAGAGCTGTATCTAGTTAATTGTATGTGCCAAGGGTTTAAGGAAGAGTTATTTATGCTTTATTCACATGAATAAAGGTGGGTAAAGGCAACTTATATTTTGCAAACATTGTCAACCTAAATGAATTTATTTCTTCTTTTTTTTGTTTCTATTTTTTTTCAAACCTACCCATGTCTTTTCTGTGGTAAAGAATTAGCCTATCTTGAAGTAGACGAGTCATAAAATATGATTGATTGACTAAATTACTTTCATTGCATTGCTTTTCAGGATACACCCACTGAAGGAAGAAACCTGCCTCTTTAAGATATGCAACACAGCTTTAAAATACTACATATGCATTACAACCAGTAAGACCCACTAATTACAATGTAGTGCATATTTTACATCAGTTCCCAAGCAGAAGTATGTGGAAGGGATGGGGGACAGAACAAAAATCCTGCATAAAAACCCAAACAAATATCTTCATGCACACACACACACACACACACACACACACACACACACACACACATACACACACACACACACACACACACACACACACACACACACACACACACACACACACACACACACACACACACACACGCATATGTTTTTTCAGCCATGGTCATATGTTTAATCTACTTTTAGCAAACTAAAATTTTACTCACTCTCTGAACATTGCAGGGTAACAAATTTTACCAGATAATTTTTATCGAATATAAACAGCATGTACATATTTCAAAGAAGCTCAGTTGCATGAAAGGTTAAAAATAGAATGTGTACATCAACTAAAACAGTTATTGGTAGATGGAGCATAAATTAGACAGCTGAAGGGCAGATTTGGTAAATGCAGTCTTGGCGATTGTTGTTCTCCCTCGAACTGCCTCTAGATGGCGATGTAGGCACGCAAAATTGCTGCCGGGCTGTAGCAGATGCGCACACCTCACTGCCTGTGATGCTGAAAGTATAATGCCTGTAGGGGAGCCCAGCATGTGACTCACCTGTGTGCAGTAGGAGAACGGTTTTCTACAAGCTGGAATACATTGCCGAATGGCAGCAGGGCGTGCCTGAGGGGAACAACCGCCTACAAAGGAAATATCACTGTTACTTGCAGATTTGTCTCTGATAATCATATTTAAAAGTTTGCTATTCCCCCTTCATGGCTTAAATGTATATGTCAGCCATATGCTACACGCCTAGCTTATTAATCACTCTAGGATGTGTTTAAAATGAGACGTTTATAGAGTTTTTCCATGTTCGTTGGCATCAAGAGTCTATCATGTGTCTATAACTGAGGGCAAAGCCTGTGAGCACCCGGATCGGTAAAAGAACTGATGAGATCTCTAGTTCAGTTCAAGAGCAGCAAACACAGCTGCTTAGAGACTCATTCCATGTGCCTATTCCTCCAGGTCCGGGCTGACCCAGCTAGGCGCTAACTAGGCTGATTCCAAAAGCCAAGTAAGAGAACGTCACTGTTGCTCCGTGGGTCCCATTGCTCAGCGCCGTGGAGAGGATTTGATAAGAACCAGGCCTAACGAACATACACAGTCGCATATGGACTTCCCCCTCGGCACGTGTACAGAAGCAAGGCATGAAGTCTAGAGTGGCCAGTCCAATGCTCCACACAACACTTGGAGGTATACAGTTGCTGATGCACGACTATGTAAATGTCTGAGTTAAAGGAAGGAGGGAGGTGTGTCTAAAACCCACCCGTGTACTGCACTGGTTTTGCCTTTCCTTGATTCAAAGTGGGAATAGACACGAAATACGTTTTGAGATAAGTCGATTGAGAAGTTGAGGCATGTAAGGGCAGTGTTTAAACTGTATTCATATGATGTCAGTCGAATTTATAGGCTCTGGTCTTTGCGGTGCAATAATTGTCAACCAATTACACTTCATGGTGTGGCAGCTAGCAAAAAAAGGCTTCAGGCTCGAGGCTAGAGAGGGAGAGCCTGGCTTAGGCATTTCCTGGGAATGGAGCTGCCACTGTTACTATTGTTCAGAAGAAAAAGAAAAAAAAAGACAAAACAGACGCCAAAGTTAAAAACAAAACCCAGAACCTACTGCCATCCGGAAGCAGCGCCTGGAGTTGAAACTGGTCACGTGGATATCGGTGACGATGACCATACAGCACCTGTCCATTTCACCCTCATGTCTGGGGACAGGGCATTCAGTCTTCAAATTTGTGGTCTCCAGGGTGGATTCTCCAACTCACACCCATTACAGGACATGGCTCTTAAGCTTAATTAAGAATGAAGCCAGGCTCTAGTTGTATTTATCCGGTGGTGCCAATGGCCCAAGCTCACTTGTCTGATGGCCTCATGCCTGGCACTGAGAAGGTCCACTATGCCAGCACAGCCCTCACCACTGTGTAAGCTTTTGGCCCATGGTCGAGCAGGAGGCCGCTTTTTGGTTCCTGGCTAGGCCTGCTTATAGAGGACTTAGTTTTTATCAGCATACGAAATGAAAAAGTGACTCAAAATAAATTATTGTATGATTGTACTAGGGGTTGATACCAGTAATGTAAAGGCATGTAAACAGGCTAAAGAAGGGACTGTGATTCTCCTGCTGCCGCAGACTTCTCCCAGCCTTGCATAAGCTGTTTGTCAGCTGCAGAACTAAAGTAAAATCAATGCCGATTTAATTTGCTTTGACAAGTAGACATCAAAAAATCTTTAAAATTATTGAGAAAACCATTTGTACAATCAAATTGTACCCTCTTTTAAGAGTAAGGAATCTTTCCTTCAGACTATTTTTAGGTTTTAAGTAATTGCCCTAACCAGGAAAACATTCAAAATCAGCCTGCAGTGGGTAAACATGAGCATCCATAACATCTACATTTTTTTCTTTGCATCATTAATGCCCAAACATTTCAATTTGAAAATGGTATGTTTATCAACTCGGCTAATTTGAGCCTCAGAGAAGAGACGGGTGGACCTGTGGGGGAGAACTGATGCTGAGTGGGCTCCTCCGAGTGTCCTCACTGATGGCACATGCTTCAACACTTAAGAGACTGCCGTTTTAAACTAGCATGCGTCTCCCTCAGATTCATCTGAGACCGTACATTTAGGACTACTTTGTTGTGTTTCCATCAATCTGTTTGTCTTATATGCTTTATGAGTCTTCACATAGAATTGTTGATTCCAAAAATGGGGGTGAGGCTTAATGAAAACCTTCCAGGAAGGCCATCAAGTCACCTGCTCTTCAACCTTGCTTCAATTTGTAAGCAAATTCCTCAACAGAAGCACACTGTGAGACCTTTCTGAAGGCTCCATGTGAGTCCTAGAAAGGGATACCTGTGACATTAAGGCCATCGGAACGCTGGCACCACACAGTCCGTTCATTATTGTTCCAAAGGCTCACTTTCCATGCGTAGTGATAGCATTTGCCACCTGCAAGGTAGTATGAAAACAGTAATTCTATTACATCTCTCTTACCCACAGAATAAGCCTCAATGCATCCGAGCGGAAGCGCTGAAAAAGTGACCTCCTTACCCGTGCAAGGTCGTGTTTCTAGAACCTGCTGGGGGCAGCTGTCTTGATTCTCAAAAGACTGGATTATGAATGTTCTTGACCTGGATTGGCGGCCCATGGTCTCCAGGCTTCTCCCATCGATGCAGGTTAACTCACACTTGCTCCACTCGGACCATGGGGTTATGTGGCAGTCTCCTGGGTAGTCACATAGTACAGAGTGGAAGAAATATTGTGAAAACAGGAACCAGACATCAGTGACAGAGATGGGGCATGCAAGGGGTCATGGGGTGGAAGTAAAGGGGCATGTGCAAGTCCAGATTTTGGCAGATTTTCAGTCTGAAAGTGCTATTTTTGGTGAAATAATTTATAGCTTAATCTAGTTTAGCAAAAGAGAGCAAAAATTAGATTGCCATAACTCTGCTTCAAGTTGGTCATTACAACTAGAGTATAACATGGCTGTTTAGGGGGGAAGTGGGAAGGATCTGGGAGGAGTTGGGGGAGGGGAAATGCCATTAGAATGTATTGTATAAAAACTATTTCCAATAAAAGAAAAATAGAAAAAACTTTAAAAGGGAGATGTAAAGAACACAATGACTTAGTTTCCCAGGATCAGTATACCACTGCAAAATGGATGTGCATAGAAACCATGAAAAATAAAAGTAGGGCCGGGCGGTGGTGGCGCACGCCTTTAATCCCAGCACTCGGGAGGCAGAGCCAGGAGGATCTCTATGAGTTCAAGGCCAGCCTGGACTACCAAGTGAGTTCTAGGAAAGGCGCAAAGCTACACAGAGAAACCCTGTCTCGAAAAATCCAAAAAAAAAAAAGAAAAATAAAAGTAGGTCATTGAAATAAGATATTTTTGCCTAAAGAATATTTACTTAAGTGCATTATGCATAGACATATTTATTTGTAAATGTAAACATATGGAGTAGACATATGGCACATAACTTAAATATAAACATTGACATATGAATGATGTATACTTAAATATGTATGTGCATATATAACATGCAAATGCACATATGTATATACATACACATACTGTATTGTAAGGAAATATTGCAAAACCTTAAAATATTCAGTGCAAGCTAAATTGCATAGTTAGTATTAAAGTAAAATAATCATTTTATGTTTCTAGTGATGACCTTCCCATCTCCACAGAACCTGACTGTTTATGGTGAGCTGACAAGCTTCTTGCCTCCCTCCCGCCATGCTACTGTCTCTCAGGATCCTCAGTCCCAAGATCCAGTCAGCATTCTGAATGTTGGGTAATATGGAGACATTGCTCGATCTGCCTGTTTTCTAGAGCCAAATCCACTGGTCAGTGAGGCCCAGGAAATGAGATCCTAGCTTAGGTTTTGTTTCCAAAAGTAGTACTGTTTTTTTTTTCTTTTTTTTCTTACTCTCTGTCTTTTAAAATGTTAACATACCCCACAATTCAAATGCATTAAATCCCATAAATAATTCAATATTGACATGATAGAAAAGGAAAAAAAAACAGTGTAAATAAAAACAAAACAAGATCATCGTTGGGGGGCTGCTGCTAATTAGGGGAACTACACACCTGGGCAAGGCACAGAGCACAGCTGCTTCAGGGTTCCTTCTTGGAAGGGGACTTCTCCACACAGGGCATCCTCCACGCGGACAGCTGTGTGGGATATTGAGCCGTTGTGGACTACGCAGGAAAAGCTGCGCACCTGCACGCCTTCCCCACAATCTCCACCCTGAGAGAAGAAAGGATGCTCTCGAAATTAGCTAGATAGAATCTCAGAGGTTCGGTCCCCAAGGAAACCCCAATGACACACAGCAGCTTTCTTCTCTTTGGAATTCCTTCTCAACGGTTGACAATAAAGCATCATTGAACTTCCGGGGTTGATAGGAAAAGTGACATAGAAACACAGGCGAGTGCTTTAGAATTTATGCCTTCAGAATAAGATCATTCATTCTGGGACTTGGGAAGAATTGACAAAATGAGAAAACTTGAATAATTTGTCTCCATGTACGTAAGAAAATAGTCTGATCTATAATCACCTCCCAGAGAACATGCACAGTCCTGGAGTATGAATTTCTTTTATTTTTCCAATGTTTTCCCTTTGCAGAAGTTGATCCTTTCTCACAAGGATCAGGTTGGGATGCAAATAAAACTGATTATTCTCCATTGCTGTTTGAAGTGGTTTTCCTGGTTTGCCTACTGTACTGAGTAATATACTTTGAGGATGTCTCATGCTAGTGTCACCCAAGAAGCTGGACACCGAGGGGAATTCATACAGTGCCCCACAGACACAGAAAGGTAGAAATGAAAGGCTTGGTGGGCATTGAGCTCAACTGTCTGCTGATGGAAATTACTCATGAGATGGGTCTCTTCACCAGGATTTTAGTTAGGTGTTTGTATTTCAAAAAGAAGTCCTTTGGAAATTTGGATGACTTCAGCTGACAGCTACATTTCCTCTTGTATACCTAGGAAGCAGAGCTGGAGGCAAAGCTTTGATGTTAAGGAGGTGCTGAGCCAGGATGCCAGTGAGGAGGATCAGACAGAACCGAAGAGAAAGGAGGGAAAGCTGGGCAGTGAATTACACACTGGACCCAGTGCCACAAACAACGGCAAGTATGTCTTGGTTGCTCATAATATCTTCTAGATGTGCCATCCCGTGCCTCGGTACCACCCATAAAGGACAGAGGGCAGGGGTGGGGGGAGGCATTTATAACGCCAGAAACTCTTTTGATCCTATTCTCACTGATCGGCATTCATTCTGGTGTCGATTTTCCTACATAACCAGGTTGAATTTGTGTCAACTAAGTCCAAAAGCTAGTAGAGAGCTAGTTTTCTATTCCCCTTTGCTGTTGTGGCTACTCTGTGTCCATCTGTAGAGATAGATAGATAGATGGATGGATGGATGGATGGATGGATGGATGGATGGATGGACAGACGGACGGACGGGTGGGTGGGTGGGTGGGTGGATGGATGGGTGGGTGGATGGGTGGGTGGGTTGGTGGGTGGGTTGGTGAGTAGATAGGTGGGTGGATAGATAGATAGATAGATAGATAGATAGATAGATAGATAGATAGATAGATGGATAGATAGATTAGATAGCTAGATAGAGACTATCTCCTCATTAGATGATAGTCTGGTAACTCTACACTAGAAACTTGAGTTTCATCTCTTTCTTGGTCCTTCCTGTCTACAGAGGACAGATACTGTCTGGATCTTGGAAATCCTGAAGTTCTTACAGAATCAGGAGTGCAAAAGGACAAAAGTGTCAGTTAAAGCAGTTAAGATATTGACCGTGGGCATAGAGTAGGTGTTCTGTCTACTCACAAGTCAGCTGGTGCTAGCCAAGTACAATGGTACAAGCTTCTGGGCATCAAGGGAGCTCGTGGGTGGCTGGTAGAGAAGTAAGATGGCACAGACTACCAGCTTGGGAGCTCTCTACACAAGGCAAGTCAAGACTAAGAAATTCAGTAGTGAGGTTTCAAGTCAGCTATAGCTAACTGTGATCTGAAAATCATCAAATGGGAAATTCTAGAAACAAACAACTTAGGTGTTTAACTGCATGCCGTTCTGAAGCACATGATGGCATGTTTCCACCCTATCTTATCCTGCACAGGATCTTTTGAGTGTATATTGTAGTACTTGTTCTAATTCATTACAGGCTACTATTATGTCAGTGTGTCCAACTTAGAAATAAACTTTATTACAGCTATTGCTATATAAGAAAATTATGCTAAATATTAGGTTCAAAATTATCTGATTTCGTGCATTCTCTAGAGATCTTGGAATGTATCTGTCATGCAAGATAAGACCAAAAAAAAGTGCAAGGAGATCAACTGGCAAATAAATGAAACATTCAGTTTGGGTGAACCCAGATTGTAGAAGCTTAAAACATAAGGATCCTGAGGCAGTACGCAAATGGGGACACCCATGGTGACACATGCCTTTAATCCCAGGAAGTGATGGCAGGAAGCAGAATGGTATATAAGGTGTGAGGACCAGGAACTAAGTTTGTTAAGCTTTTAGGCTTTTAGCAGCAGTTCAGCTGAGATCCATTCAGATGAGGACACAGAGGCTTCCAGTTTGAGGAAACAAGATCAGCTGAGGAATTGGCGAGGTGAGGTTAGCTGTGGCTGGTTCTGTTTCTCTGATCTTTCAGTATTCACCTCAATATCTGGTTCCTGTGGTTTTTTTTTTATTAATAAAACCCTTTAAGATTTGTGCTACAGACACCACACACTTTCTTAGAAGAAAATTAATAGAAATTATAGTTGGTTTATTTAGGATAGTTTCTCAGTTTGTTCGTGCTACTATAATAAAATACCTTATACTGAGTAATTTATAAGTGATGGATACGCACTCCTCAAGAGAGTCTGAGATTTTCAATATTAAAGTATCAGTAGGTGGCTCCTTTAGATGGGACTTCCACATGTCCTGGGGGCAAAAGGCAGGTGCCTTGGGCCTTTCATCATGAGGGTGGAACCTTCCAAACCCCTCCTGCTGATGTCATTTTTCTCTTATATTAGTGGCCAGTCTTCAACGTAAGAGTCATGAAGAGCCCAGGCACACCACAGCAGAGGGTGGATCACTCCAGGACTATCATTTAGTCATGAAAAGTACCATAATTTTAGGCCTAAATGCATCTCTGGGAAGAAGAAGTTTAAAATCAATCTACAGTATAACAATTAAAACAAATGTTCTAATAAAAATTCACTGCCTAAAATGGAAAATAACAAGAACAAACTGAATTTCCTTTCTGGTGGGGAGTGCTCCTTCATAACTTAGTATCCAGATGATGGCTTTGCTGACTTTTCTAGGTGCAGTTTTTGCTGATGAGTATGAGGACTTCGTGTACTTGGAGACAAGTCTAAAGATGCCGTAGCAGATGTGGGCTTTGGAAGTCCTGATACCTTCAACTGACAGGATGAATCAATGAGAGTCTCTTTTGACATTCCATCAGGCAGCTTGTGTAGCAGTGCAGAAAACGAGCCTGCAATGGGGATCATCTTAAAAACCAAGACAAACAGTGATAGGCTCCTTTTGTGTATCCTGGGATCAGCCCACATTCATCCTTAATCTGTTATACTTTTAAGGACGGTGCCCACATGAAGAGAAATCAGCATCAGACTGACAATTCCATTCATGAATCAGGCACTCCTTTGTACAGAATTTACGCACTCCAGTCAGAAGGCAGACCCCAGGTCCTTAGAGCAAGCTGGCAAGTAGGGAGCATTTCCTCATCCACCCTCACTGCCTTGATTCTGAGTGGGGTTTTGTTTACACTGAATTTTCACCTCTACCAGATGTGAACAGACAGATGATGCTAGTAAACAGAACTATAGTTTCAATCAAATTTTTAGTAGCAAATACAGTTCATTGAGCTCTTTATTTACATGAGGTACTGTGCTAAGTATTTCATATAAGTTATCTAAAAAATAGCTACAAGCGTGAATGTTCTCCAACTTCAGATTGAATCAATTGAAGATTAAAATTTTTGTAAAAAAATACTTTGATTAAACATGCATAGGTTTTTTTCCCTTGTCATTACTCTTTATGTCATATAATGAATGTTTGCATACCATTTACATCCTAATAATTAGCACTATAATTAATCAAGAAATACTAACATACAAAGGCAAAGAAGAATGTAGGTTATATGCAAATACTATAGCATTTTCTATGGAGGACTGGAGCTTCTGAAGGTGTTGGAAGTGATGGGGAGGGTACCCAGGAGTCAACCTATTGTGACTCTCATAAGCTAGACAAGAAAATGAAGCTTGGAGTGTTTAGATAATTGGTAAAGAAGTGCACCGCTACAACTTCCCAGAACCGTGAGCCACATTGTGGTTGCTAGATTCCAGAATCTCAACTCTTCATGAATAGACATGAGTGGTTGAGGAACTTGCGTAGGGCTCGCAGGGTTTATGAAGGTGAACACATCTTTTTTCTGTTAATGTCTTCCTATGAAAATTAGAGGCAAACTTGTCACATCCACAGTGCCATTTGCAAGCCTCCGTCATTATTGCCTGACACTTCCTGAAGTCAAGCAGCCAGTGACATGCTATTGCCACCATCAGCAGCAGTCCCCTGATGGGTTAGAGCATGAGCAGACAGGAGTAGCTTTGGGGAGACTTGGTGTTCCTTTGTGTGAAAGGCCTGCATGTGTTTTGATCATCAATGCCCCAAAACTTAGCTATACTTTTAAGAAAAGACACTTAGTGAAAAGATCCCAAATATTTACTTCACAAAGAATTAGCAGACTTCAGGAAAGCTAGATGCATCTGGGCCTCACAACAGCCAGCCCAGGTATCGTCACAGCCCTTTTCCCCATGCTTCTCCTTCATTTGTGTCTTTTCTTTTGAGCCCTCTTGCTTTTGAGTGACTGACTTTATCCACTAGGTGGAGGAATGTGGCAGCCAAGAGTTTGTGATTGCAGGGTCTTTAACCAGCTTCAAATCCACTTCGAACTCATCATCAGGAACATTGACTGCCCTTGTGTAGGTAGGCACCCAAGCATAAAAGTGAACTATGGACTGTTTTTGAGAGATTTGAGTAGAGTAAGTCTCTTCCTGAGGATATCAAGTGCTGGTGGGTGGGACTCACCCTGTCCAGAATCTGACGCAGTTTTGCTGTTTCCTGAGGAAAAGCCAACTCCTGCCCCCTGGGTCTCTACAGCCTCTAAAGTAGTGCTTCATGAGGAAATCCACCAACCTCCATCTACCTAGTCACAGACCATGGTCACTGCCCATCTTTGTCCCTATGGTTCTGGCAGAAGCGCCATGACAGCAACAGATTCCATTGGGCATTTGCCCAACGTGATCCAGTGAGACAAGCTGCTGGACTTATCTATCAAAGATGAAAAGGCTGCTGATACCTGAGAAGGAAAAGGGAAGGTGCAAAGGCAGAGGAGGAGTGCATGTTGCGAAAGACCTGGAGTGAAGCCATCCTCTGTCCCTCATCATCTCCTTCCTTCTCATCCTTTACCTTCTGTGTTTGTTAACTTTCCTCTCCCTTACCCCATCATGTAATGGCTCCTTAAACTCCCTGTCTACTATGTCACAGTTGTCATAATTATAAAGGGGAACTATTTTGTCCTTTTTCTTGATTTCAGTCATTTCAGATAGCACTTCAAATTGCCGAAGACTTCAGAGAGCTCTTTAGGCAAGTAGACAAGGTTGACTGCTTAGAGCTGTTAGGTTACTTCTGAATTCATCAATCAACATGTCTACCTTATCTCCACAAAACAACAACAACAACAAAAAGGAGTACTGAATGCATGTGCCACATAATTTTGTTCCTCTGAGACCTATAAAGATACATGGGCATTTAATTTCTGCAGTATTACAAAGCTGCTCAACACAGCCATCCTGACAGGGGCACCAAACATCTTTATAAGAATACTCTGAAGATTGCTTAATGTGTAATCGAAGTTATTGTTGCCTAATTAAAATACACTTCCAAAAAGGAACTGCCGGAGAAACTACTGAAAGGCAGACATAAAGAAAATCAATGCACCTTTTCTCAAGCCAGAAGCCAGAGAGAGCAAGCAATAGAAGATCTTCACTGATCAAACACAAGTTCAGTGTCTGTGACACACAATAATGTCACCAGGCATTTATATCTCAGGCCAATAAAAAAGTAATTATTAAGGAAAGGGTAGTAACCTTGGTTCATGTAATAAAGTTAGAATATAGCTTTTATCCACTTTTTATCTTCTGCCCACAAGCAAGGCATTGTCAAAGCCAAAAGTTAACTTTTAAGAAACACAATCCAAAGCAAGCCATGCATTTCCAGAGTCAGGGTTTTGCTTAATTAAACAATGATTTGATATTCCCAGCAAGCAAAGGAAAAAAAAAAAAACCATAGAATTCTTGAGGTTGCCAAAGAGATCGGCAGTTCTGTGACCCGCTTGTTATAATCAGTGCCTAATGAATGGCTGTTTACTTTCTTAGCAGTATAACTCTGTGGGAAACTAACTCACTTGCTTGCATTTTTCCATGTTCTCCATTGTGTTAAAAATAACAGGTGCCCAGAACCTGGTGCTGTGTAATTTATTCAATCACTGTATTGGATGAGACAAGTGCTTTGCACATACTGAGAAGCATTCTCTAAGTGTCATTGCATGACCTACCTCCAATTTACATGCAGACCAGTTGCCAAGGACCCAGCTATAGCAGGGTATCACTGGGCAGGGTTTCTGCTGGATGAGCTCTGTGGGGCATTGCCGTCCTTCTCCTTGGGTTGGCATAATGATAAATCGAGTCCGGCTCATTCGACCTAAAATAATAAGAGAGGTGCCAATTATTGGTTAAAGTTTGGCTCAGAAATGGAGGGAAGAATTGTTGCCTTGTATGTGTAAGTCTTCATTCTATGACAATGAACACTGTCCTGTCCCTTGTACTCTCCGGTTTCTGCCATTTCAATTTAGATGTTGAGAGAGACGTAAACTATCTCAATATTGATGTTTCAAAAGATCTGAAATTATCCCCATCTTCTACATCAGTCTTCAGGTCTGAACTTGGTATCTCTGTCAAACAGGCTGATTTTGTGAATGCAATAATGCTAATTTCCTTATCAAATATTTATTTATTAAGCTTTATTGTGATCTAGGCTTCTTGCTATGTACCAGCTATAGTGATAAAATTGTTATATATATCTTCTGCTTCCAACAGGGGGCACAAATATTAAATACAAATAGAGAAAGTTGTGTGTTTTTTTTGTCCACTAGGGCAAATGAAATCATGAGACAAATGCCACATAGGTCATTACTCTAAGACATTCCACAGGATGGTCACATCCGATCTTCTTACAGTTTTCCCCAGTTAACTCAATAAGACCAGTTTTCCTAGAGATTGTGGGCCCATTTCTTCCTTTACTGAGCTCAAGCAAAAAATTATAGGTTGGCTTATGTAGAGGAACCAATGGCGCTCAAAAACTGTATATTCAAAGAGGTACTCCATGCCACAGTGAAATGAAAGGGTGGGCTAATGAGTGGCAGAGAAGACAGTGTCTCTTCACATCCCAGTAGCACTTCCAAGATAAGCTCAATGGGGCAGTGGATGGAATCACCCAAGCTATTCAGCTGAATCACCGTCTCTTTTCATGGCCCCCTCATTGCTGGTTTTTCTTATTGATGAGTATGAGACACATTTCATTTAATTATTGTTATATAGTTTATCTTATTTATGCATATGATGTAATTTCTTTGTTACAAAGTGAACTATGTTCATGTATTTGGCACATGTTAAAGAAAGGCAGAGCTTTCTGGGAGTATGCACTGAAGCACACCCACCTCCCATGTCCCATGCTAGAAAGGCTCAGAGACGGTTTTCTTGAAAAGTTGAACTTGAAACAAGATCTCTGAGCAGTTGTGGTATGAGGAGAGTGCTGTGTACAGTGTGTCAAGAGACGTCTCAAATTGCAGGGTATGAAGCTAAACTGAGGACCTGACAGTGGCCACAAGGCTAGAACAGTGGTGGGGAAGAGGAGATCTAGAGAAAATTCTGGGGTCTTTTTGTAGATGTGAAAGACCCTACATGTATAACCAAAGAGAAATAGAATGATGTTTTCATAGCATTCACTTGAAAGCCTAAGGTAACATACTCCCATGGGGCCAGGTCTCTTGCTGTCATTCAGAATATTACCACAGACTTTAGTGATCAAGTACTCTCTCTTTGGAGAAACTTGAAAAACAAAACAAAACAGAAAGCTCCTGAGAATCTAAATTCTTTGGTGGGTGAGTCCTGCTGCTAACGTTATACTCTCTGTACATTAAGTACTAATTGAAGAGAGTATTAATTGAGGGGGGTGGAAGTATAGCTCAGTGGTAGAGCACCTTCCTAGCATGTGTGAAACCTCGTGTTCTCACAAAAAGACAGTGTCTCTGAAAATCCCCTAACTGGTTATGTGTTTGTTTCATATTTTTATAAAATATCTACAATACATTATATCATCTAAAATGTATGATAGATAATATACCATCAAAGCACTTATTGAAATGGTACCATGTGCTTGACAATATTCTAAACAATTTATATGTACTGGCTCATACAATAGAACAATCTTGGAGAAAAGTCTATTATTTGTCTGTATTACAGGCGAGAAAATAAATCCCAAAGCACTTAGGCCTGTTATCTAAAGTTAAACACTAGTCATGTGGGGAATGAGAGTCATACCTAGGATGCTTCAACCATGCTGTTGGGTTAAATCTGCAAGACGTTAGGAGAGCTTGTGGTATTGTATTCCCCCAACTATTGTGCATGCTAATAAACTTATCTGGGGTCAGAGACAGAGCAGCCACAATATTAAACATGAGGATAGGCAGTGGTAGCACACGCCTTTAATCCTAGCATTCCAGAGGCAGAAATCCATGTGTTCAAGGATACAGTCAAGCATGGTGACTCACGCCTTTAATCCCAGAAAGCGAGCCTTTAATCCCAGGGAGTGAGGCAGAAAGCAGAAAGATATATAAGGCGTGAGGACCAGAAACTAGATTTGACTGGTTAAGCTTTCAGGCTTCAAGCAGCAGTTCAGCTGAGAGCCATTGGGATGAGGACACAGAAGCTTCCAGTCTGAGAAAACAAGACCAGCTGAGAAGTTGGCTAGGTGAGGTTAGCTGTGGCTTGTTCTGGTACTCTGACCTTCCAGCATTTACCCCAATAACTGGCCTCGGGTTTGATTTTATTATTAGAACTTTTAAGACTCGTGCTACAAGTGCTACCTATAGAGGATGTTCATGGGAGACATCAAAGGAACTTCTGACAGTGGAATTTATTTGTGACAATGTGGGATCACAGTGCATCTTGAGCACAGAGCTCCTGAGTATGCATTTGGACATTTCCAAGAACCATTAAAATCAAAAATCAAATTATAGTTCAATATATTATCATTCATAAAATGCTGTCTATAGCCTATGAATTTATTTGGCTCAAGATTTCATATGAATTTTTGATCAACAACTCCTCAAGTTTAAATTTTCTGTCTATTTTATTGGCCAAAGTATATATTACCTAATACACCATTGCTATATTATTTTTTGGTTTTGTAATTATATTTACAATGTAATGATAAAAAGACTGCATTTTATTATGACCAAATAACTCTGAGTTTGTTCTCAACTTGATGGTGTGTTGATGGCCAGTACTTTAGAATCATTTTATTTACTTCCATTCAAGTGACAGATATTTTCTGTTGTAGATGTAAGTGGAGGAAATCTAATAAGTGCAAAGGAAAAAGTTATGATGTTACAGGTGATATGAATGGAAAAGGAGGAATAATAGGGAGGAAACTGTAGATGGGGGAGTATGGCAGGGGAAGAGTTAGGGAATAACTAACACGAAGGATGTTTGAAAAAGCCATATGGAAACTCAGTACTTAGCTTCTCTCCTCTCTCTCTCTCTCTCTCTCTCTCTCTCTCTCTCTCTCTCTCTCTCTCTCTCTCTCACACACACACACACACACACACACACACACACACGTGCACAATGTATTTATATTCATATAAAAGTGTTTAATTGGCATTAACTTACACTGGGGATAATGTTCCTCCCAGAACCTTAGGTTGCCAAATAAAACGTTCAGTGACAGATGTGGGATTCCTTCCCCTGAGTTATTGGTTAAGAATGTCCCAGTGGCACATGCCTTTAATCCCAGCACTTGGGAGACAGAGACAGAGCCAGGCAGATCTCTGTGAGTTCGAGGCCAGCCTAGTCTACAGAGCGAGATCCAGGACAGACACCAAAAACTACACGGAGAAACCCTATCTTGAAAAACAAAAACAAAAAACAAAAACAAAAACAAAAACAAAAAACAAAAACAAAAGTCACAGAGAACTTCAAATAATACAGACTTTTCTTAGTTGTCTAACAGAGCTTGATGGAAAGATTCCATTGCTGAAGAAACTACATGTGCTGGCTATAGGACATGGAGAAATTGAATTGGGACTGATGAGGAAATTTCCTCCTTGTTGGTTAGTTTTCAAGTACCAGGAGTTTGCAGGGGGAGTAGGAAAAAAGTCATCAACAGTCTTACTCAACTCAGAACACTGTGAACTACAATGATGACCGACGTGGCAAGATGTTCCCTGGCATACAACACTGACATGAATGTCACAGGGTGTTCCCAACCACTTTCTGATTGGGTTTCAGGCCCACTCCACAGGAGAAAACATAGACCTCACACTGGAATTCTTGCCAAGAACCCATCGTTGGGGAGCTCTCAGGCCCAGATTATTCTCCTAAGTGGACATAGTAAATTCATATCTCCTTACCCATAGACTAGTGTGTCTCTCACGCCTCATTGGTGAACATGTCACATGGATAATGGTTAATGCTGAAACTCCCAACTGATCCAAATGCATTGAATAAAAGTGGGTGGAATGTTCAGCCACAAATGAGGCATCTATATCACACCCTTCCATATGGTTCACGGATATTAAGGAAAAGGGTTAAGAAGTTCACAAGAGTCAGAGGTTAAGGAGCATCAGAGCAAAACAATGTCTCCTGGACATGATGTGACCTCTGTGTTCATTAACTCAGAACAGCAGAGATGACCTGTACAAGAACAAGCCAATCAACATCCTAGCAGGGAGGGGAAGGGGCTCCTGAGCACCCCTAACCTAAGGAGCTATAGCTGGCTGCAGTCAGAAGGTTTCTCCAGTCCTGAGTTCCTTCAGTCCCCTCTGACCCCAAGGTCTCTTAGCTACTTATAAAATAATCATTTAGAGTCTTAATATTAATTATCAACTGTATGGCCTATAGCAGGCTTCTTGCTAGCTAGCTCTTGTAACTTAACCCATTTCTACTAATCTGTATTTTGCCACATGGCCCTGGATTACCAGTACTTTCACATCTTGCTTCTCCTGGTGGCAGCTGGTGTCTTCCTAGATTCCACCTTTCTCTTTCCTGTCTCTCTCCTTGAATTTCCCGCCTGCCTCTAAGCTGCCTTGCCATAGGCCAAAGCAGCTTATTTATTAACCAATGGAAACAACATATATTCACAGCATACAGAAAGATATCCCACAGCACTTCCCCTTTTCTATTTAATCAAAAAGGATGGTTTTTAACTTTAATATAGTAAAATTATATATAACAAATAGTTACCAAGCAAGAATTACAGTTATAATATCTAGTCTATTTGTATTTGGCAAAATTAAAGAAAATATTCTATCAATATTTTTGTGATTCTAAAGTTTCATATCTAATTTATCTTTTATCATGACTAAGGAAAACTATAATTATAACTATCTAATCTTCAACTACATCAAAAACCCCAGAAAG